CAAGGGACATGCGCTGACGGATGCTGGAGCCGCATGCCACACGCAAGGTTGCCTCGAATTCGAGGGCCAATTTCGTTGAGAGCGCGGACCACGACCAGGTTCCTGTATCTCCAATAAGAGACATTTCTCGACTGCCGTGAGCGATGCGATTGGAATGTATGCGCCAGATTGTCGACGCCGACGGTGCAGCCGCCGCCGTGGCCACGGGTGCGTGTGCTGAATTCACTTCGGAATCATCCTGGGCTCTTGGAGCCGCATATCGAAACATGAAGGCATCGATCTGCCACGCGTTGTTGTTGTCCATTGGCGTGTGAAAAATATTCAAAAACATGTGCATCGTCCCACCGCAACTCGTCTGTCCGACCCCCCGAAGACAATCTGCCCTTCCGGCAACTCTCGCGACACCCAATGTTTGGGATGCTGCTTGCCCCAATACTAGTATTCCTCCTCTATACTAGTACGTCGCAATTGCACCTGAAGCCCGTGTAATGTGTCGACGGCCGCATCAATCGTTTTTGCATGTTGTGGCCGTGAATGTCAATTGAACACGAAGCACCCATACCACACCCCGTTGAAGCACGCTATCTTCGTGCTTGCACGAATTTGACCTGAATTTCTCTCCCGTCGTGGGCTGTTGAAGGCCCGCTGCCGTGCGAACTTTGTAATCGCTACGGCATTGACAATGCGGACTTGACATTCGTCGTTGGAGGGTTCAGGTGGTGGAATCAAAAAGTCCCAGATTCTTAACTCCTCTTGTAATTGCCGCGCTCGGAGATTTTGAAATATCTATATACACCGGCATATTGAGTTATCCGTTCGACTTGCCGGATGTATCCGGAATTTTGTCGGACGTTTTACCTCCATGCCACACGGTTCAACGCAGTCGATTGATTTCACGGCAACGATGGTACAGTAGGTCTTCGATTCAAAAACACAATCACTGATCACCTGCTCCAGAATATTGGAAATACCACATCGCATATTGGAAAAAACGATTGGAGTGATCAT